CTGGCAGAAGCCCTGCCTGCGTGGAGCCATCCGGCCACAGCTGCAACGCGGTGTTGGCCCGTCCCTGGGTTGCAGGGCTCAGGGGGGGTTTCGACTCTCACAACTTGTGCAGGCAGGCGAGGCTCCTCTCAGGGGGTACACATCACCATCACAAGGCTGAACATCTCTAGGCTCTGGTAGCACTCACAGCTGGGAGCAGCCTTTTTCAACTTCATGCAGGTGTCTCACGTCCTTGCGCGGAGTTCTCCAATTAGGCACTTTACTGCTACTTGCTCAAGAACCCCCAAAACATGAAAGATCACAATCCCCATGTTGCCCTTACAAGGAAAGAGTAGTTTTTCATTTTTTTGACGGGGTTCTGGAGCAAATAGCTAGGCCACTCTTCGGTGGCAGTTGGCACCCCATCCCGACTCTCGGCATTAATAGTATCATTTGTGGTAATAATAATAATTATTATTATTATAACTACAATTATTGTTAATAATAATACATACATACATACATATATATATATATATATATCTCTGACCCGGGGCTTTCCGATCTTATTCGACTGTGCGGCCGCTTCGGTATCTGCTGTTGCTTTTTTGCTGTGCACGCTGTTTCGCACCCTGCAGGAAAGAATTGGCCAGAGGCCTGAACAAGCAGAAGATGAAGAACAGGGTGGCGAGGGACCCGAGAAAGACGATCTGGTCGAACCTGATAATCTGGTTCCGCAAGACGCACAGCCCATCGAAGCACTTCAAGCCCTTGTTGGAGGCAAAGCCCAGGTCTTCTAAGATGAAGGAGAAGGCCGTCGGCCGCTCTTGCGGCGGATTCTGACATGTAAGTTCAACCTCGTCGTCGTACGGCCGGCATATGTCCTGCACCATTGTTGGCGGGGGGGGGACTTGTTACAAATGATGATTTTTGATCCTTATTAGCTTTAAGTATTAATAAGAAGTATTAGTACTCAGGATCAATAATAAGTATTAATAATAAGTATTCATGAAAATTATGCAAAAATGATGATCAACAATGACCCAGCGTCCGTGCCAGGCTCGAGGCCCGTGCCTTGCGTCCTCACGTCGCAGGTGTGGCCGATGGACTGCAAGGCGCAGCTGGGCATCGGAAAATGATGCGGCTCCCAGCTCTTGGCGATGGTGAGGAGCTCAAACTTCTGATAGCAGTTTCGGACCTCGGAGGGCTCTTAAAACCCTCTGAAAACCATATGTTCCTGAATTATGACCCTCTTGAAACCATATGTTCCTGAATTATGACCCTCTTCAACCCAATAAGGGAAGAGAGCAAATGTCCCAGGAGATCCTACCGAGGAACATAGTATCTGAAGGCGCCGTAACCCAGCGCTCCGAACACCACCAGAAAGCTCAGTATGGAGTAGATTCCCATCAGCAAGCTCCTGGTTTATGGCTTAGGGCTTAGGGCTTAGGGCTTAGGGCTTAGGGCTTAGGGCTTGGGGTTTAGGGTTTAGGGTTTGGGGTTTGGGGCTTAGGGCTTAGGGCTTAGGGTTTAGGGTAGATTGCCATCAGCAAGCTCCTGCAGCTGCTAATCCAGTAAAGGTCGGCCTCGTCCGGCTCCTGAACGTAGTTCCCAGCACCGTCCACCAGGTGGTACTCCTCTTGGCTGCACTTAGGAGGGTAGCTACACATTAGTTGTTTTTAAAGCTGCCTTATTAAGAAGCCCAAGAAGCCCAGAAAGGCTAAGGATCTAAATCTGAAGTTACAGTAAAGCACCACAAAGTCCTGCTTCACCTGCACCAGGGGTTGCTCCGCGAAGTACTCTCCAGTCGTCGGGTTGGGAACCGAATCCCACGTGGCGAGCCGCACGGACATGCTCGAGTTCGCATGAAAGTTGTCAAGGTGCCGCAAGTCCGCCGTCGGAGTGCTGAAAGTGATGCTCACCCAAGGGGGCGTCTCCGCCTCCACACTGCGGTCGTTCATTGTCAAGGCCAGGCGCTTCGTGTTGTCCGGCTCACCCTGATGCGCCCACTTCGCCACCCGCGTCGGGGAGAGATGCACCTCAGCCACCTTGTGGATGCCGATGAAGTTGATCTGGTTCACTGTAATGACCACCGGCAAATCCCACATGGTGTCTCGGAGGCGTAGTGTCAGGATCTCAGGGAAGTGAATCGTCTTGGGGTCTTGGTCCTCCTGCACGGAAGTTTGTAAGGCCGGATACTTGCCACACTCGACGGTCACGGAGAAGGATCCGTACCGGTAGAACGGAATGTCTCCAACTACGATATTGCTGAGCTCGATGGTCATGGACGTTACACCCGCCCACTGCGCCGCTTTTCGCACGGGATTGGATCCACGCCATTTCCCACAGCAGGGCCACTGAGTGAACAAAGTTATCCAGTCATACTTGCAGAGGCCACAGCACTGCCACACCCCGTACCAACAGCAGTCGGGAAGAGTTGCATGCAGCAACTCATCGCCCGTCAGAACAATGAGGACCGACTTCCTGTGGACGAACAGGCACACAAGAAGAATCACGATGATCAAGCAGACAAGAAGCTGCTGGACGAGCTTCACTGGCGAGTACTGCGTCAGGTCCTGGAAACTCAGCAATCTTCGTCCGGTGCTTTCCGGCTGCTCACATAGGGCGAACTGGCCAAGCTGGTTCAGGTCAAGGCCTGCAACTGTTGCTGAGGCTGCTACGGCTGGGGCCACCCCGGGAGCCGCGGCTGCAGCCCCTGGAGCCGCGGCTGCAGCCCCTGGAGCCACGGCCGCGGTTGGTGCCGCCCCGGGAGCCGCAGCTGGAGCGCCTAGAGGCGCGGGAGCCGCTCCAAGAGCCGCGGCTGGAGCTCCTGGAGCCGCGGCTGGCGCCGCACCGGGGGCCACGGGAGCCAGTGGGGCCTGGGTTGTTGTTGCCGCCGCTGGAGCTGCCGGCGATGCTCGTAATGCTGGTGTGTTCCCTGGTGCAGGTGCTGGTGCCGGCGCTGGTGTGGGCGCTAAAGTTGTGGGCGCTACGGTTGTGGGCTTCTGAATCATCATGGCATCTGCCAGCCAGTCTGGAAGAGTGCCAGCCACTGTCTCGTCCTTGTTGTCGAACGGATTCGAAGAACCTGGGCCTGGGGCTGCGGGTAAAGTAGGAAACCCTCCCAACATCTGCGCGCTCAGCCGCCATGTGTTCGAGATGAACACCAAGAGGCACAAGACTGTCGAAGGTGCATTCTTGGAGTGCCTTGCACCCAACACCCGCATGGCGCTCCTCCTGACTGCTCAGCCTGTCGGTTCCGAGATCGGCTGCGGAACAGAGGGCGTGCTGGTGCGTCGACTGCACGTGCAGATGTGGGGTTTCCGCTTTGGGGGGTTTTAAGCCCTAGCCCCCCCAAACTCTTTGTGGTGCCTGGACTCAGGGCGGCGCCAGCATGATTGAAACATACTGCAACATCTCACAAGCAATGTGCAAGGGTGTCGGAACATGACATGACCGCTGGAGATGCACCGGGGCATCTCTCAACTTGTGAGCCCTTATCATGTCAGCTACCCTTCAGACAACCCTGAAGTTCCAAAACCCTAAACATTTCCCCAGAAACCCCCTCAAAGTATGTCCGAAAGCAAGCCCTGGTTTGTGGAGAGCGGCCGCGTGCACAAAGCTGGAGAGGCTTCGGGCACGGCTGGCTCCGCGCTGGGCCTCCACTTGGATCGTGGGCAGTGATAAGTCACGCTAGCAGTAAGGTAACTACACTGCGAATTACGTATAAGAACTGGTTATAACCTTATTAGACTACTTTATAGCCCTACGTATAAGTACTGAGAACAACTGGTTTCAATCTTACTTAGGTTACTTTTAACTCTACTTATAACTACCCAGGAACCTTCAAGCAGGTGTTGGCGTATGCTCTTAGGGGCTTTGTCGGCGTTGGAAGTCTAGTATTGTTGGAGGTTTCCCCTTAGCAACGTCAATGCTAAGTCTCAAGCCGCATTCCTCAAGAGGGATTTCTCGATCAGTATCCCCAGAACCAGTTCTCGAGCAACAATCAATCCTGTACGTCCCCGTGCTTCGCAGGACCTATGCTCTAGTGATAAGGGTGGGAAGTCTGTCGATGACCCCACACATCCTTCCCCCGCAGCGATATATCCTACTGGGAGCCAAAAGGCCAAGTCAGTCTCGAGGTCTTGCATGGTGCGGGTGAAGGAGTGCTGAACCGCATGGAGCACCTTGCGCAGGCTTCTGAAAGGCGCTTGAGGGCGTTCGGGTTCCTGTATAAGCTGTTCTGGCCGATCATGTTATCGGCACGTTCTGTAAGGTTCAGCAAAAAATGTCGACACCTGCGGCTCATGGATGAACTTGCCCCCTCATTGAAGCGCCACAAGCCCTGAACCAGTTATGCCTTGGAGTTCGACGCCCTGCGCTCAAAAATGTCGAACCCTAAGCTGGGCTCTTGCAGAGAACTCTTCAACTAGGTTCGTCCATCTCTCGTGCTATCATGCGCTTGCGTCTTCAATTTCTTGGCAAGGGACCAGGAAACTAAAGTCTTGGGGTGGCCTTAGACCCTGAAGTTTAGAACCTCCTTCACATACATACATACATACATACCTACATACATGCATGCACGCATGCATACATGCATACATGCATACATGCATACATGCATACATGCATACATGCATACATGCAGACATGCATACATGCACACATGCACACATGCACACATGCATACATGCATACATGCATACATGCATACATACATACATACAGACATACATACATAGATATTTATATTGTATTATACTAGATTAAATTAAACTATATTATATTATATTATAATACATTATATTATACTTATTATATTATAATATAGCATAGTATATAATGTTATTATATTTATAATTATATCTTATATATACATACAAACCCTGATTCATCTGCAGGCCAAGGCGTACATTTCATGGGCAAGGGTCCAAATTTCGTGGGAAAGGGTCAGTGTGCTTGGTGAGAAAGGGCCCAATATGCAAAGTGAGTATCTCTGTTACCTGAAACTAGGTTCAGCCCCGAAAGAGCAACACTTTGTTAACACTCGTTTCGCTTGTCCGCGAAGATCTGACTTCTGCCGAACTGGGAAACAACAGAGTCTAACCACAAAAGTTGACAGAGAGAAGTAAAATGGTGGTTTCCGAAATTCGGGGATACTTATTGGGGGGATCCTACTGTTTGGGGGTCTAGATTGGGGGCCCCTATTCTCCCGGGTGTACGGCATTTGACTAAATCCAAAAAGGGTATGGTTGCCTCTTTCACCGACTCGATGAGGGTCATGTTCACTTCGTCGAACCCACCCTCGCGGGTTTCGGGCGTAAGGTTTAAGGTTTAGGGGTTGTGGTCTAGGGTCTAGGGTCTAGGGTCTAGGGGGTTTAGGGTCTAGGGTCTAGGGCCTTAGGCTTAAAACCTTGAAATTCGGTTGTGGATTTCAGGTTACTGTGCAGGATCTTGCATGCTACCTTCAGGTGAAGGTGACCAGGGTTTTCAAGGAATGTACCCATTAAGGAATGTTCCCTCAACCATAACAGCACGTATGATTTGCTTCAAGGGTACCACTCCCTCAATATGTGGCTGCTGGCAACAAACAAGAAACCCTTCTTTCGAACCCAGACTCGATCAAGGGAACTTAAAGCCCTACACCTTGAACCCCTTTTCAGATTTGTTTTTCAGGTTTGAGCCTCTTGGGAGTTTCGGGTTTAGGCTTTAGGGTTTGGGGTTTAGGGTTTAGGGTTTAGGGTTTAGGGTTTAGGGTTTAGGGTTTAGGGTTTAGGGTTTAGGGTTTAGGGTTTAGGGTTTAGGGTTTAGGGTTTAGGGTTTAGGGTTTAGGGTTTAGGGTTTAGGGTTTAGGGTTTAGGCTGCTGGCTTCCGATTTTCACAATCGCACACAGCAGGTGAGGCTGCTGTCCACTGACATGTCCACTGCTCAAGATCCGATGGTCGCCACAAAGGTTCTAAGGGTTTGGGATTTAGGCTTTTTTGCGGGGTTTAGGATTTAGGGTTACCCCAAAACCCACCATTCAGTCTGCTGGCTGTGTCGTTAGGAACAAGGAATCCCAGATCCTTACCATTCACACAGGCCCACACACAAGACTATCTGAACTACCCAAAGATCTTCCAAGTACTTATTCCGGTGCACTTGACCAGGCTACCCGGCGTCCTCTGCGCCTCAGGCGAGAGGGAAATACACGAAACCAGCTGCTCAGTTCTGATGACACCAGTGGGCACGGAGAAGCGGCCTGGAAACACATATGGAATGGAGTCTACGCCCCGATGCTCGTCATCTTCTTGCGCTGCCGGTGGATGAAAGCCCGCGGGGAGGTGTCCTCGGCGTCATCCTGCGCGACCTGGATCAGGGAGCTTCCGGGGCTTCCCCCCTTTCCAAGTGAGCTGCCCTTCTCCTTGGAGCAATCCACGCGGAGCTGCGCACACATGTCCTCACTCTCGGACTGGCAAACCAGCTGGCCATTTCGGCACTCCCACCTCATGGCCTTGCAGATCCTTTCTTTTTCGTTGCAGAACTCCTCGAGTCCCACACAATCGAACTTGTCTGCCTGACACACATACGAGTCTTCCTCCATCGCGCAGCCTTTCAAGGTGACTGAGAGCAAGATGCTCGCCACAGCCCCTAGCAGCCACAGTTCCCTCATGGTGCTCCGAGTCGCGTCCGGAGCCGCACGCTGCAAGTGAGAAGTGTACTTTGCAGAACACACTGGCTTGAGACAAGAAAACGGCTCGGGCTACGCAGCTTGGGGCCAAGTGCTCAATGTCAAAAGGCACCCCTTTCCGGGACCTCTACTTTCAGCAGCGAGGCTTTTGAGATCTTCTGACTTAAGTTGCGTACGGGGGCCTAGGAGCAGAGGCTTTCTTGATTGAAAGTTCGCAGAAACCTTCAAGCCAACCCTGCAGAAGGCCCCTCGCCTCAGCCAACACCAAATTCTCAATCATCTCCTTGTCGCTCTGCACACTGGCCTGGGCGTCCTGGACTCAACACCCTAAACCCTAAACCCTAAACCCTAAATCCTAAATCCTAAACCCTAAACCCTAAACCCTAAACCCTAAACCCTAAACCCTTTCCGTTGGTGTTTTGCTGCTGCCTCCTGCGTAGCTGGGACCCTCTTAGTTCGGGGGGGCTCAGGGCTAGCAGTCAGGCGCGGACCTTGTGGCCAACCAACGAAGAGCGTGGCGTTGTTTAGGGTTTAGGGTTTAGGGTTTAGAGGGTAGAGGGTTTAGGGTTCAGGGTTTGGGGCTTAGGGTTTAGGGTTTAGGGTTAGGGTTGAGAGGTTAGGGCTTAGGGTTTAGGGTAAGGGTTCCGGTTCGCATGCTGACTCAATTCTGAACTGACGATCACACTCGCTTGGAGGACGCCCCCCCCCTAAGCCCGGCAACCCATTTGCTTCCAGTCTCGGCCCTCAACCTCATCCGGTCTTGAGGAACAACCCTTAGACCCACCCTTGACCCTGAAGAACCCCAAGAACCCTCAAAACCCCTAAAATCCCTACGAACCCGAAAGAAAGGAACCAAAATCCCTCAAAACCCGAAGAACCCGAAAAAAAAAAAAAAAATCATCCACACCCTAAAAACCCTGACAAAAGCGTGTCCTGGAGCCGGAGGTTGGCGAGCTTCCGGCTGACGTTCAGGGCCAGGTCCATGCTCCCACTCCTTTCATGGGGGGCGAGCCTTGGGTTTTAGGCGTTTTAGGCGTTTAGGGGGTTTAGGGGGTTTAGGGGGTTTAGGGGTTTAGGGGTTTAGGGGTTTAGGGGTTTAGGGGTTTAGGGGGTTTAGGGGGTTTAGGGGGTTTAGGGGTTTAGGGGTTTAGGGGTTTAGGGGTTTAGGCGTTTAGGGGTTAGGGGTTAGGGGTACGTATAGCTTGGGATGTTCCCCCTTATACTGTCAATTCTATAGAGGGTACAACTATCCCTACTAAGGACTGCTAGTATAAGGGGGAACTTCCCAAGAAAGAGGAGTTCGCAGGTGAAGGGGCTTAAGGGATTTAGGGTTTAGGGCAGGGGGGTTTGGGGTTTAGGGCTCAGAGGGTTTATGAGTTGAGTGTTTAGGGGGTCTGGGGTTGCTCATATTGTGAGACTTCTTTCTGGGCATGGTCATTATCTTTATTCTGATTCTTGTTAGTATTGCTAGTATCACTATTCTTATTACTATGATTACTAGGACTATTGTTAGTACTACTCTTTGCTTAAGAACACCAAAAAAAGACACTAACCCCCATATGACCCTTCGGCTGAGGAACGTTTCCTATTTCATTTTTTGGGGGAGGGGGGTTCTTACGCAAATAGAACCTTGTTTTTCTTTCCATGACAATTCTTATGACCATTGTTCATTTTGCTCTTACTTGAACATAAGAATCGCCTTTGCCGGGGCAACCAGGGAACAAAAGAGTTGCAAACCTTCTTCTTCCTACGCAAAAAAAAACAGGCAACCCAAGAGAACTTGGGCCGGGTTCAGGTTTCAGGGGTTTAGGCGTTTCAGGTTTAGGGTTTCGTGTACACTTTTATCGAGCAGCCCCCCTCTTCTGTTCTGGGGACTAGTCTAATGCTTAGGACTAGATCAGGTAGGGAAGTTAAGAGGACAAAAACACATATTACATATATAGACAGACAGATATAAATAACATATATATATGTGTGTGTGTATCTCCAAACATACACGTATACACGTATATATGTGAATATATATATATATGTATATATATACATATATACATATATTTTTTTTTTCATACCCCCAGCTCCTGAACCCTGGCACGCCCCCGCCCCTCCCCCCCGCACACAGTGCGAACAAGGCGCCCATTGTTCATGATGCCCAACCTCTGTCGCAGGCTCCGGGCTTGGGCGCTCAGAGGAAGGATGCTTCCCAAAAAAACCCTGAAGTGCGTGCAACGCGGGGTTGAGGGTTTTTTTGCCACCCGCCTGGCGAACTCGAGGGTTTTAGGATTCAGGGTTAAGGGTTGAGGGTCTACACAGAGTTTCTGGCCCATGAGGGCTGTTGAGGCTGCTGGGGCTTGGCCCTTCACTGCAGAAAGTTTCGCCGTCACCGGGCTGAAAGGCCCCTCCGTGCTTTTAACCCACAACCCGAAACAATCCCGTTCTAGTTCTTGCGGCAGGGCTACAAACCTAAGCTCACAAGAAAAGCACCCAGGTGCCTGAACTGAACCCTCACCCTCCAAAGCCTATAGACCTCAATTGTGCACACGCACATGTCCAGTCTAGCCGGGCTGCGGCGAGCAAAGCCTGGGCGGACAGGACTAGCCATTCGTCCCCAATATGGCCCCCATTTGATAGGGTGCGAAAGGAGGAGGAGAAGGGAGCCAAGTGTGGACCCAATCAAGAGATTAGGGAGCCATCCCCCTTCCATTGGCATCAAACTCTTCCAGCTGCAGCGGCGATGACAAGAGGATACGAAGATGAAGCATCATGTCAGGACACAGTAGATAGACAGGCCTGTAAGCCCGGAAGCACATGCAACGATAGACCCAGTGGTATCTACGGGCCTTAGGGAAGGGAGTCTTTCGGCGGCACGAGAAAGGATTCGGGATTACTCAAATTCCCTGGCCCCCCTTGACGCCTCTCCCTTAATCATCCCGAGCTTATGGGCCCCCCAAACCGCCTGAGAGTTCATTTCGGCTCTGGCGCCTGAAGCGGTCCTAAACCCTGAAGCCTAGGGCGGAAAGAGTTTTTGTGCAGCTTCACGAGAAGTGATCCGTGGAGTCGTCAGTCAGGTAAACAAATACCATAACCGGAAATAAGGTACTTACAACCCGACTCATAGCTACCCATTGCCATGATCCTTGGAATGAGGGTTTACGATAACAAGGGGCCGGATCCCCTCACAATAAGGACTCCAATCAGGTACCCCTAAGAAAACCCCCAGATGGGGTGTAAAGGAAACCCAAACTCGAAACCGTCCAAGTGGCTTCAGACCACGGTACCTCTGGCCACGCGCCTCTGCCACCACGTGCTCTCTCTTTAAAGGGCTCCCCCCTAAAAGGGAGCCAGTAAGCGGAGGAGATAACCACATGCTCCCACATTTCCCCAGAAATCGGACCCCGAACCCTAAATCCTCCGGCCGAGGTCTCAGATTGGACGCCCACGTCTTGTTGCGTGCCCCAACTACACCCACCAAGGTGCAGAACTAAATTGTAAGTACCTGTCCATCAAGAGGGCCGATTCTGGAAGCCTGGAAGCTAACCCTAAATTTGGGCAAGCACGAACCGCTCTCTGAACAGAGAAAGACATCCTTTGACTATTCGTGAGAGGATTTGCCCAGTTCTGTTTGGGGTCCCAGTGCTTCTAAGACAGGACGTACAAACCCCCGCAACCCCGCCCAGATAGTCTTACATAGGATGCAAAGTACCCCAACCAAGGTTCTAATCAGTTATAACCTCGGCTGTAACTGCCCATGTCATGAACCTCCAAGTGCACCCTAAGCCTTGACTTTTTCACAAGGGGTTCGACTCGCTTGACAAGATGAAGGAACTCGGGGAAGAAGCACACTAATGGGAAGTTCTCTAAGCAAGGGTTCCGTTTAATGGGTCCTTAGAAAGGGGTGCCCTACCTTTTAAGGGCACCAAGGAAGGAGCCGAAACCACATGGGATTTACGAAAATAGGGGATCCCCGATATATACCCCCAAGAAAATAGGATTCCCCTTTTGTAAGAACCCCAGTACGGTACCCCAAATTTCGGAAACCCCCATATTCCCGTGGTCCCTTTTTGGGACTTCTTCGGGGCCGGCCTTCTTGAGGATCGTCGTTTGCAGGAGTTCGAACAAGCCTCGGGCGCGCTGGGAAGGTTTTAGGGTTTGGGGTTTGGGGTTTCGGGCTTAACCCTAAACCCTAAACCCTAAACCCTAAACCCTAAACCCTAAGGCTCTAAATAGCCCAATGTGGGCATTCTGTTAGGCTCCAAATAGGCCCCAAAGTGGCCATGTTCTACAGACGTTGGAACCCCCATGCATGTATCATCCGTATGCTCCAGTCATCTGTGTGCTTTGGAGCCCTAAGCCCTAGACCCTAAACCCTAAACCCTAACCCCTAAACCCTGAACCCTAAACCCTAAACCCTGAACCCTAAACCCTGAACCCTAAACCCTGAACCCTAAACCCAGCTAGGGCCTAGGGTACACCACCCACAACCCTTGACAGCCCTGCAACGAAACGTAGCCGCTGCCTGTAAGGCCCGACTTTAGGGTTTGGGGTTTAGGGTTTAGGGTTTAGGGTTTAGGGTTTAGGGTTAGGGTTAGAGCTCGGACTACCATAGGTGTACCTGAATCTAAGGTGCTGAACCCTCTCATCTGTAATGGAAGTCCTACGTACCTTCCACTATATGAGGGGTTTACGAAAATGAGGGACTCCCTAAAAACTTGGATCCCAAGAATCAGAAGGGAACCCCTAATCTCGGAAGCCCCCAGATGTCGCATTCAGAGCCGCCGAAGTGCCCTAAAACCCCCTGTACTTGAAGGTTCATGGGTAGCTATAAGTAGGGTTATAGGGACCCCAGATGAGGTGAGAAGTATAGCTACCCTACTTATAACCCCACTTAGAACCTCCAAGTAGCCCTAAACCCTAAACAGTTCTAAGCCTCACCCTAAAAACCCTAAATCCTACTTATGACCCCACTTATCCTTACCCATGAACCTCCCAAAAAAGGGAGGTTCAGAAGCCCCCGAGTCCAAGCAACACCAGGAGCGAGTGAGTGGCATGGCCTCGTCGTCAAACCTCTCCGGTTTTTGGATTCATACATGGTTTATGCCTTCTTTTTATGTTGCTCATATTATATTTCAGTTACTGTAGGAATGTATTCCTATGTTAGCACGTTATTGCATGATAGTCGAATACGTTATTCTGTGACAATACCATGATGAGTATACCGTGGCATTCCTGAACGCTTCTTCAAAAGCCGACAGAACCCCCTTCTCCCCCTCTTAGCCCCCAAGTGCCGCCTAGAAGAGATCCCAAGCCCTTGGCGGTTTCGGGCTGTGGGGCTTAAAGCTCAGGTTTAGGGTTTAGGGTTTAGGGTTTAGGGTTTAGGGTTTAGGGCTTAGGGCTTAGGGCTTAGGGTTTAGGGTTTAGGGTTTAGGGCTTAGGGTTTAGGGTTTAGGGTTTAGGGTTTAGGGTTTAGGGTTTAGGGTTTAGGGTATCCGGGGTTTCGACTCGAAGCTGCCGCTCTGTGCTTCGGGGGAGAAGCTGGGGCCCAGGTTTTGGGGCTCAGTGGCTTACTTCTCCAACAACCAGGGGGAAAAAGAGCTGAGCTTTAGTATTCCTACTAAAATAAGGAAACCGAAAAAGTTTAAAGTTCAACCCTTGGCTAAATAAGACATGGGGCTAACTGCAGGGATTCGGCGATTGCGCTTTGAATTTACCTGTCAGGTGCTGCTGGGGGACACCATGGCCGTCCCAACGGTGCTGGGGCAGTGCATCGCCATGTAGAAGGAGGAGGTGCCTGGGATTTCTGAAGGATCAGAGTTCAGGGCTAAGGGTTTGGTATTTAGGGTATCTGCGCCACTCTTTTAGGCAGGGGCCTCTGCTTTGGGGTTTAGGGTTTTGGGTTGGGGTCGGCGGGGCAGGGTGTTACTTGGGTAGTTGGGCGCATTGTTCTTTATGTCGGGGGGGGAGGGGGGGAGGAGGGGGAGGAGGGGGAGGAGGAGGAGGTGCCTGGTGATCAAAGCTCGTGGTTGAAGTTCAAGCTCCCCTTGAAGTGGCACCCTCCACCCCTACAACCCACCCCAAACCCGGCTAACCCTCAAAACGCAAGTGCCTAACCCTAGAAACCCAAGTGCAAGCCCATCTTACTCTGCCTCGGTTTGCCCTCTCTGGCTTCCAGGCCGAGGGGGTTGAGGGTTAGGCTTTTTGGGCTTTGGGGTTTGGGGCTTTGGGGTTTTTGGAGTTGTTTTGCAGTTGGGGTTTTGAGGGGTTTTTGGGGCTTTGGGTTTATCGCACGGACGAAAGACCTGAAGCCCGGAGGGGGCCCCTTGCAGGATGGTCCGGAGCCATCAAACCCTGCGGAGATGTCCTCCGAATCAACACCGAAACTCCCAAACCTTCCAGCTCTGCCTCTTTTCACCCCCCAAAAAAGGCCCGAATTTCAGTGTGAAACCCAAGAGGAGCCCAAACCTGAACGGACATGTAAGGGATGAGCTTCTCCAGTTTCCTCCTCCCAGCTCCTGGTGCTGTTAGCAACGGGGAGCCCTATTAGGGGACCAAACTGTGTCGCTTGCCTAAGCCCTAAACCCTAAACCCTAAACCCTAAACCCTAAACCCTAAACCCTAAACCCTCAACCCTAACCCTAAACCCTAAACCCTAAACCCTAAACCCTAAACCCTAAACCCTAAACCCATCCTAAACCCTAAACTAAACCCTAGGGGCTTGAGGAGGTTTTTTCACACACCTCAGGCTGAAAGTAGCAAAGGGCGGAGGCGCAGCCCGTAGAGCTCAGGTGGCACACAAGAAGGCCCACGTAAGCTCAAGCAACCACTTGGGGGACGAAAGGGGAAGGTTTGGCATTGGGGGCCTCAAGTTGGGTGTTTAGGGTTTACGGCTTAATTAGGGCTTAGGGCTTAGGGCTTAGGGCTTGGGGGTGAGGCTCCTCCTGGATGGTTTCTGCGCTGCTCTGGTTGTTGCTGAAGGTGCAAATCCTGCAAGAAGTCTTGGTCTCCCAAACCCTAAACCCTAAACCCTAAACCCTAAACCCTAAACCCTAAACCTCTTGCATGCCCTTGGGTTGGGGGCGTTGCCGCATAGATCTGTACAGCCCGGTTTATGAGGCTGGGGGCTACGCGAGGCTTTGCGCCACGAAAGCTAGGGCATGCATGCATGGAGCCCGGCAGCGGGCTCGGTCCAGTAGGATTGGCTGAGCGCCAGCGCCACCTCACTCTGCGGGATGGGATGGAGCGTGTCAAATTCAATGCCTAAACCCCACAAAGAAGGCGTCGATCTCAGCAAAACACAAGGCATCATCAAATTCAACAAACGTTCGCGTGCTCATCGCAAGTGCAGCGCTTCTGGCCGCGTCCAAGCCATGGAGAAGTCCGACTTTGAACGCTCGAATGACAAGGGGTTTAGGGTTTCAAGCTTCGGGTGGCAAGCTGCATTCCCCAAACCTCAAGTCCCAAACGCCCTAAGCCTCCAGAAACCACAAATGCCCCAAACTGTCCAAAAACCCTAAACCCTGGTGCTGCGTGAACTCACACTGACGGCTAAACACTCTTGCTGAACCCAGAACTGAGTGGTGCGGCCACAAAACTCTGAAACACCAACCCCTGGGAGTCGTGTCACTTAGCCCGCCACCCAGGTCGGGTCTTCGGCGGCGGATTCCCCGGCGTGCTTCGTGACCTGGGAATTCCAGGCTTGCTTGGAGCACCGTTCGGGGGTTCGGGTCTGCAGCACCGGCTTCAGGCCGCTCAAGGCCAGTTCTTCGGCAGCCCTTGAAACCCAACCTAACCCTTTTTTGCCCTAAACCCCCTTAACCCTAAACCCTAAACCCTAACCCTAAACCCTAAACTTACCCCAACAACCCCAGAGAAGCCGCCGGGCCACCGTACTGATCAGGTGCGCGAAAGGGGTGCCTGGGACTGGGACTCTGCTCGTCTTTTGTGGAGCTTAGGGTTTAGGGTTTAGGGTTTAGGGTTTAGGGTTTAGGGTTTAGGGTTTAGGGTTTAGGGTTTAGGGTTTAGGGTTTAGGGTTGAGGGCTTAGGGTTTAGGGTTTAGGGTTTATGGCTGTTGTATACGGTCTGGGTCCCAATAACGTTTTCAACGAAACGTTTTCAACGAAACGTTTGCAACGAAACGTTTTCAAAGAAACGTGTTCAACGAAACGTTTTGAGCGAGATTGTAGACTCTTTCTTGTAGACTGAAATTCTTGCACAACCGTTGAATCCCATGGCTGGGTGTGAAACGAAACGCGGCCGGACGTGAAGAGTTCACATTCCAAAACCTGATCTTTTTGGATGTTTCGCGACAAGACTGGCGTCGGGTGCGAAATGTTGCAACGGAAGCTTGGACCGAAAGGACTTGCACGAAAGGTTTCAGGGTGTTTTTGGCCGTTTTGCAAGGAAGCTTTGAACGAAAGGTTTAGAAGACTCCTCTCCCTGGACCCTGCCAAGGGGGGCGGAGGGGCGAGTGGGGTTCTGGGGTTGGGGGCCTGGATTGGAATGAATTTACTCAAACTCGGCTTGTCGGCTGCTTTTTTCAAACAACTTGGCAAACTCGCAATGATATGACATACAACCTCTAGCTATTTTGTCTTGAGGGATTCGGGTGTGGGGTTTAGGACTTCGACTTTTGGGTTTCGACTCGAGGGTTCAGGCGGCTCTCTGACTAGGCAAGGAACGGGATCCCGTCGCGTCCTCTCTGTGTCCACGGCTTGGGCAAGTTACCCTCGAACTCCGGTTCTTAGGGTAACCCTGAACCCTAAACCCTAAACCATTCTTACATAGTTCCGGACCCTGGCTCTACAGCACTTAACCAAACACACGAAACCTTTCCAGCAGCCATGGCACCCCAAAAATGGCTGACGAACCAGCGCACTGTCGACGGGCCAGCCACCTCGGAGCGACTGAAACCCAACCTGACCCATGAAGACACGTCAGGTCAACAGTCGAGGCTCCAAATCCTTAAGCCTTAGTAGGATTTTAGGGGCTCAAGCTAGAACAAGGCAGCAGGGGTGTTTTGAACTGCTTCAAGTGGAGGGTTTGAGGTAGCCCGCGCCTCTGCATAGGACAGCTGGTAAGGCTGCGTGATGGGCTTCAGAATGTTGTGCGCCACCTCGAAGCCAGGAACTGGGGAACGCGGTACGCTGTACCGCTCTCGAAATCCCTAAGCCCTTTGTTTTGAACCCCAGCATCTGCTCCCGGTTAAGCTGGGAACCACGTCACATATCCTATGTCCTTATTTTGCATCCAGGCCTCGTGCCCATATCCTAAAACCCCTAAACCAAGGGTAGACTCCAGGTTTAAGTAGCCCAAGGCTGGTTCAGGGTTTTGGGTTTAGGGGTCGGGGGTTGGGGAGGAGAGCAGATGCAAAGGCTTCGTCACTTGATTTTCTGCAGTTGGGAGCAGCCATCCGTTTCTCCAACTTGGCACCACCCCATGGTCTTACCATTTCTGCTGAGAATCCACAGTTGCTGTCCAGACAACCCTAAACCCTAAACCCTAAACCCTAAACCCTAAACTGCTTAATGGGTGATACGTGGGAACGTAAGGCTGGGGCTTCGCCTCGCGCGTTCGCGCAAGGCAGGCAAGGCTTGGGCAGGGTCCGTCACACCAATGTTGGGGGTTTCCGAAACTAGGGGTGCCTTATTGGGGTCCTTGTGATAAGGGAATCCTACTATTTGGGGGCGATTATAGGAGGACCCTATTTTCGTAAACTCCCAATCGGGGCTCTGCACATCCGAGTTGCGTAGTACGTCGTACGTAGTCCTTGGCAGCGAAAGTGGCTTTTGAGATCGGGCTGCTGAAGTTAACAGAACTCAGTAGGGCAAAGTCCTTGACCCTGCCACTCTGGCCCCTGCCGCTGAAACCCCGAACCCAAAACCTTCCACCCGAAATTCCGGCGGTTTGAGGCATTATGGTCTGGTGCCCGTCTTGTTAGGGTTCAAGGTTGATGATGCTGGGGACATCTGGAGACCAATTGAGCTTGCTGTACAAATGCCATGGGCCCCGAAACCCCGACAAGGATGTTCGCGGTGACCAATGGGACCGCCTGAAAGTCAGTCAACTGCCCAAGCTCTCAACCCGAGTTAAACCCAAACCCTAAACCCTAAACCCCCAACGCCAGAGGACCTGTGTAGGCCTGGAAGTATGCGTTGAAGTCCCGCAGCTGTCGGGCAGTCACGGCACGCGCCGGGCCGCGCGGGCAGGGTTTGGGATGGTGTTTTCCTGAGCAAGGAGGGTTTAGGGTTTAGGGTGTAGGGTTTGGGGTTTAGGGTTTAGGGTTTAGGGTTTAGGGTGTAGGGTTCGAAGGGCAAGGGTATAAAGGGTTTCAGGTTGAGGGTTTGCGGTTTGGGGTCCGTAGGGCAAGGTGATTCTGGGGTTTAAGGTTTAGGGGTTTACTCCTCTGAGATCTGAGGACTGCACTCCACATCATCGGGACTCGCTCACCATCAGCACCGGGATTTAGGGGGGGTTTGGGGTTTAGGGTTTAGGGTTTAGGGTTAAGGGTTTCGGGTTTAGGGTTTAGGGTTTAGGGTTTGCTGATCCCACAAGACATCCAAGGAAAAATTGGTTCGTGGGCAGCTACAACCACATGCTCTCAGTCAGGCCACCCACAGCGCGTAACCCTTGAGTAAGGTACGTAGAGCACGAACTTTGCAGGGCAAAAGGATCTCCAACTTGAAGGTTCATGGGTAGTCACAAGTAGGGTTATAAGTACCCTAGAATAACCAGCTATAACCATAGTTGCCCTACTTATCACCCCACTCGAAACTGCCCATGAACCTCCAAGTAAAGCATTCTCCCAAGCCCTATCCTCACCTCCCCCTCCATGCTCTCAACCTTCATCACATCGGGAACCTGCATCTGCTTCCTCGAAAAAATGTGTAAACACATCACAGTATTCGAAAATAGAATATTAGTAAGAATACCAAGTCTACTAGTATGATCAAATAGCTTCATATGCACTACTACATGTTTCATAACCCCCCCAGAGTCCGCCGAAGTTTTGGGTCCGCGAGGCGTAGCAGCACCGCGCTGAAGGCCTGGATGTCGGAGGCCAGGCGCGTGAGCACGACGGCGCGCCACCTTGCAGGCCGGGGATTCAAAAGCCCAAAGCACTTGAGTCACCGGAGCCGGAACCAACTAAATTCCAGGGCCGGCTGGGAGGCTTCAAGGGAGAACACTAGCACTTGGCACCACACCCAGCACCATAGGCCTTGATCATTAGAGCAGGGTTTTGGGTGGATATTATCGTACAAATTATCAACGGACCACAAGGGACTACTACTAGTAATTGTTCCGACAACACCCTCTGGTGGGCGCGGCCTCAGCCAGTGGGCGCAGGCCGCGACGAGGGCGCCCAGAAGAGCGTGGAGAACGCAAGCCACCCTCAGGAACCAAAACTTGAGGTGTTTGCTGCGCTGCATCCCAGGGTTGAAGTCTTGGTTGCTGTTTGGGGGCTTCGTGTCTCTCGCGAGCAGCCCCAACAGTCTCGGATGCTTCGTGACCTTGCTGCCGTGTGGCGAGATCCTGCGAAACCTCGAGGAAAACACGGCCTGAGCAAAGACGGAGTCGCTGGGGAGTTTGGGGTCCAAGGTGTGGTTCCTGCAGTCAGGGTGGTGATCCTCGCAACTGCCGTCATCTTGGGGAGCTGCAAATGTCTTCGCGTCTCGGACATGGTGACAGATACCTAGAGTCGGAGCAACAAGGCCGGAATCCTCGAAACGGTCGTCGTTTCTGGACCGGATTTAACTTTGGGGTTTACGAATCCTAGAATAGACCCCCAAATAGATCGGCCTATTCGGAACCACAGCAGACAGCAGAGGCCCTCGCAACGAAAGGAACTCAAACAGACATCCTTGCCCAACCCTAAAGCCTCAACCCGAAACCCTAGACCGAGAGCAGAATCCTGACAAGCCGGGAAAGGGGCAAGCGCCTGCTTAAGCCCTAAACCCTAAACCCTAAACCCTACACCCTAAACCCTAAACCCTAAACCTTAGAGAAAGCCAAGCGTCCATCAGAGCACAGTAAGTCAGCAGCGGGGCGGTCCTCGCTTGGACACTTGCGATCCCTGACTGGGAAGGCTGGTAGCGCTAAAACCCCTACATAGGGGTTTCCCAAAATAGGGGCACCCTTTTTGCAGGTCCCTTTGAGGGGATTCCATTCTATTTGGGGTGTGAAAGGAGTACCCCTAATTTTGGGAAACCCCACAGAGCAACAGCCGCCACAACAGGGCCTCCTTAAGATAACCTCAGCTCATACAAGAAGCGGAAAGCAACACGAACCCTGAGATTCCCGCTAACCCCTGGACCCTCCAACCTAGCCCGATATAACTCTACACCCTGGACCTATTTTTGCTACCCCCGGACCCGTTTCAACAAAGACCCTGAACCCTTAAACGACTTAAACGCTAGACCCTGAAACATGGTTTACCCCCCCCTCCCCCCCACTCCCCTAAATCAGGCTACAGCCTCCTTTCCACCATCTTTTTTGTTGGGTATAGGGCTGAGGGTGTACTGTTTCCCCTAGAGACCAAGGTTTAGGGTTCTGGTTTGGGTTCTTAGGGTTTGGGGTTTTGGTCGAAGGCATGGGGCCTTTAAGTTTTCGCGCAGCCTCACACCCTAAACCCTAAACCATTTTGCAACTGGGACTTGGTGACTGCCAGAAATCCCCACTTCACACACCCGCAAACACAAGTTTTTGGGTCACAAAAACCCTCAGCAAACAAACACCAACTTGAAGGATCATGGGCACGTGAGGTGACAAGCAGGGGGGTTTAGGGTGTAGGGTTTAGGGTTTAGGGCTTAGGGTTTAGGGTTTAGGGTCTAGCCCTCCGCCCGAGCGTTGCGCCGCAGTTCGGGTTTAGGGTTTAGGGTTTAGGATTTAGGGTTCAGGGTTCAGGGTTTAGGGTTTAGGGTTTAGGGTTTAGGGTTTAGGGTTTCGGGTTTCCTTTCTGCCCTAAACGCCAAGCCGGCGGCATCCAGACCAACAGCGGAATGCGGACGAAGCCGAAGCTCATCACGGCATGGCGGGGCAAGACCTGGCAGGTTCGGGTTTAGGATTTAGGGTTTAGGGTTTAGGGGTTTAGGGTTTAGGGTTTAGGGTTTAGGGTTTAGGGTTTTGGGTTTTGGGTTTTGGGTTTAGGGCTTGGGGTTGAGGGGGCTCCCCTCAAGGCTTCAGTGTGTTTAGGAGCTTCCTGGCTGAACCTTTTTGAGCAACCCTTTTTGCATCCGGGCTTGGGCAGTCGGCCGGGGATGGAAGCAACCCTAAACCCTAAACCCTAGCCCTAACCCCTTTTGCAACTGGACTCCTTGCTGCCAAGCCCTAAACACCCTAAACCCCAAACCCAAACCCCATTCAAAAGCCGCCCCAAATGGCCGACATGGGAGCCGAGAATGTGCCGGCGAATTCTTCTACTATTGTACTCTTATGATATTCGTATAATATTCTTATAATATTCTTATAATATTCTTATAATTTTCTTATAATATTCTTATAATATTCTTATAATATTCTTATAATATTCCTATAACATTCCATATGGGGGGATACGATAGTAGGGGACCCCGGAGAGACTCCCAAGTCATAGGAGTCCCTCAGATATAAGGACCCCGCTAGGGGAACCCCCAATTTCGGAAACCCACATGTGAGTAGATGGTTTTATCTTAGCATAATGTTCTACTGTTATGTTGCGATTTGCTCTATGACCATCTTCTTCCATTGTCACATATACTTTTCGCAAACTGTCACATCTTTTCGGGGGTCTCGGGCTCCGGCTCGCACACTGGCATTTTCGCGCGAGGCTCTCGGTCGTATGTCCAGGTTCTATATCACAGATCACAGCGCAGCTGAAAGAATCCTAGGGGCTGAATACCCTAGCCCAAAAAAGGCTAACCTTTCTGCCTTTCTTGTAGTAGAAGTATATTTCTACGTTCCCAAAGAGATGGAGGGTTCATGACCCCGCCCCTAAGGACTCGCCCCTAACATGAGACCCGGCTTTTAAGTCCAGTGGAATCATGCCACAGCTCAGGAGACCCTTGTGACGAGCTGGCCTTCAAACTCTCAGCCAACCAAAGTTTGAGAACAGTACATAAATACCTCTTATCCCGGAGGCCATATCGACTGAAAATCGTTGCTCAGGAGTTTGGACCACATACTGGGCCGCCGACTGTCCCACTTGCAATAAGAAACTATATGGCCTAAAACTGTCCAAATCACGGCGCTGTGAGGCGGTCTCAGTCTCGGTGTGTTGTGCACTTGTCAGAAGTATGCCCCTGCATTTGCCTGCTCGGCGGTTTGATTTGCGATGCAACGCTGTCGAGGCGGGTAAAAACCGACTGCTGCCGCTAGATTCCGTTAATCCATTTAACGTCAGGCCTGCAGGGTAAGGGAGACTCATTGGAGATTCTCTCCCCTCTTCGGTGCACAGGAGCTGCCACCACTTAATGGTAAGGGCAAATTCTGGCAGATGCATTTAAAAAGCCACAGTCGCGTGACCAGGCGGGATAGTGATGCTTTCGGTGGGCGACGTTCTTCTGGAAACAATGCCCCCGAAATGGGTGCCATGAATGCACCATGAACTGATTGCACAGAAAAGCTCCAGAACTCACAACAAGCAACTCCTAGCGCGGCGCGCATTGGTAGCTCTGCAAGTCTCCGTTCGGAGATGCAAACGTGTCTACTCGTCATGAGGCTTGTGAATGGAGTGCCTCTGTTTTTGGATGCTTCGCTCCACACAAGTATTCTTTGTCGGAAAGGGCCTTGATGCTTTACCAGTCGCGGACTGCATAAAGAAACTCGCTTGGCCTCTTGACTCCGCAAGAGAGACATGTGCCTCGACTGAATCTGGCATCACTCTTTCAGCCCCTGCGAGTTCTCTCCGCCACCTCCGGACGACTTGCTCCAGCCAAAGCGATTCTTCAGGAAAGAGAAAGTGCCACCACTCGAGGTCGGTCGTGGACCCGATGGAGGAGTAGGAACCAGCTCGGCTTTATCTTTGGGCGATGTAGATGGCCCTTGCTCCTCGACGGTCGGCTTCTTTTCCGCAGTTGGGGAGGCCCCCTTGGACTCCTTGGAGGGCTTTCGGGGCGCCTGCGCGGAGGTCTCCGGTGCAGGCGGGGCCAGTGCATCCGACTTCTTCGGCACCACGTGGTCCGATGTGGTTCGCATGACCTTCTTCTCCAAGCCGGGCTTGCCACTGCTCTCCCTACTCTCCCTCTTCATCGACTCGAGGCCGGTCACGACCAAGCTGTCAAAATCGTCCACGGCCTGAAGAGTCATCCGGGCAACGTTGCTTCTGGCGATTTCGGGCTTCTGGCTGGCCATGGTCCACAATGCCTTGAAGGACTTCCTTGCCGAGGGCCGTTTTGCCGGATCCTTCTGCAGCAACGCCTTCAGCAACTGGATGATGCTACCGGAAAACTCACCGAAAAGGGCTGGATCATACTTCACCTTGCATCGTGCCGTCAGCTCAAGCACCTTCTTCAGCGTTTTCCCCGGAAAGGGTAGCGTATTGCTCAACGCAAAAAAAAGCACGGCCCCAGCACCGAACACATCGACCTTCTCGTCATATGGGAGGTCTGTAACAACTTCCGGAGGAGCGTACCCCGGCGATCCCACTCTGCGCTGCATGGCCTCGTCATCCTTCAAGAATGCCGCGATGCCAACGTCGGATAGGACGGCCTTATTGTTGGCCAGCAAGATGTTCTCGGCTTTCACATCCCGGTGGACAACGCCTAAGCGGTGGAGATGGGTCAGGGCCGACAGCAGGCACAGCATGAGGGTAACTGCCGCCGTCTCTTTCATTGCGCCATTGGCTGCGAGGTAGTCGAACAAGTCACCCTCTGAGTACAAGGGCATGACGATGGTCCACCGAATCGATGGACCCCTCTTGCCTTCGGCTGCACCCACCTCATGGAAGCAGAAGACACCGAACAAGGCAGATATGCAGGGGTGGCCCCGTGCCACTGCCAGAAACTCGATTTCGCTCCTGATGTTGATCTCCTCGGTGACGCCACCAGATTTGTTCAGCTTCTTCACGGCGACCTGGGGCACGGCCGGGATGTCGACCTTGGCTGAATCCTTCGGCGTTGGGAGGCGCATCCGCGACTGGCCGAGGTACACCGTGCCGCAGCCGCCAACACCGAGGGACTTCTCTGTCACCGCGTAGCACTCGTGCAGATCCCAACGCAGAGCACCGCGGCCACCGAACTCGAACAAAAGCCTGAGGAAGTCACTGTGCTCCACAGGCGCAGTGTAGAGTAGCCAAACGTCCTTCAGCGGCATCATGTCGCCAGATTCTGTCGCCGGATGCTCATCCTCTACAGGCTTCTGTGGACACGGCCGTGGTGCGAGAACCAGCAAGTACCAGCTTCTCTCCGAGTCGGGAGATTTCGCAGTCAAATAAACTAAGTCGGCCATGAGTAGGGGCACGGACACCGTGATCTCCCCGGTAGCATTGGAACCCTGCAACCGGCCCTCGGAAAAGAAGAGAACCGGGCCTTCTTCAGAAGGTCCTGGGAAGCCGAACTCTGTTGTCTCAAGAGGGGGCTGCCGTGCAGTTGAGAGCGCGCTACCCGCTGCTGCTCGCTGCAACAAGTTGCCCAGGCACTCATGCCGACCCCTCAGCTTAAATGCTGCCTCTTCCGACTGAGGAAGCGTCCACGGCGCCGGCGCGGAGGAGGAGGTGGTACCACCCTCACTTTCACTGGTGTGCACTTGATGCAACCAAAGCCAGCGGAAGCCACTGGGCACGGCCACTTCGCTCATGTCCCGAGGTCCCTCTCAGTTGTCCCTGGGCCTCCAAACGTCTCTCGCAGCCCCCCTGTTGGGCGCTGCTGAGACAATCTGGGGGCAGCGGGACTCCCGGGATACGTTTCAGAGCCAAGTGAGCTGCAGTTCAGGGTGGGGCTGCCTTCGCTTGACGGATAGGACGCACTGCACAAAAAGCTTCGCTCAGCAGTAGACCCCCGAACCACCACCCAAACCCCACGAGAAGCAATGGCGCGAGGGCCTACCCCAATCACAGCCATGTTAGGGCACTTAGGGGGCTTATAAGTTTGCTCTAAGTGCAGGCAGAATCTGGGCTACAAGTACCAGGAACCTCCAAAATAAACTTTGAGGCCCCCCCCAGGACCGTCTCGCGCGCCTGGAAGTAACCCGTCGAGGCGTCGATGTGCTTCGTGGTCGGATGGCCATCCTTGGGCTGGCTCTCAATAGGCCTAGAAAATCCCCTTAAAGGGTATGTAGAGGGCCCTGATTCTTAGTAGGGAATGAGGGTATTAAAAAGGGCCCGAATACCCTTATTCCCCTTGACCCAAGCTGCGCCGTCGAAAAGGCTCAGCTCGGTGGAGGCAACGCGATGAACCTCCAGGGCCACCCATTTGTCAGGGGTTTAGGGTTGAGGGTTGAGGGTTGAGGGTTGAGGGTTGAGGGTTGAGGGGTTTAGGGTTGAGGGTTGGGGGTTGAGGGTTGAGGGTTGAGGGTTTTAGGGTTTTAGGGTTTTAGGGTTTTAGGGTTTTAGGGTTTTAGGGTTTTAGGGTTTTAGGGTTTTAGGGTTTTAGGGTTTTAGGGTTTTAGGGTTTTAGGGTTTTAGGGTTTTGGAGCAATTATACGGTTCTTAAGGGAGGGGGGTTCAAGGGGGGGTATGTAACCCAAGGTTCCCTAATGCTCCTAGAGCAACCCAAGTCGCCACCACTGATAAGAACAAGCGAAAAAAAAGAAAACACCTACTTGGAGGTTCATGGTACTTGCAATAAGTGCCCTAATATGGTTGTAATTGGGTCATAAGTGCCGCAAAACCCTGGGCCCCAAACCCTAAACCCTAAACCCTAAACCCTAAACCCTAAACCCTAAACCCTAAACCCTAAACCCTGGGCCCTAAACCCTAAACCCTAAACCCTAAACCCTACTTGGGCGATAAGCACAGCTAGACTTGGGTTGTTCACTACCCGTGAACCTCCAAGTGGGGTTCCCCTTGGTGTTGTTTTGGGGACTCTTCGGGTTTGGGGTTTAGGGTTTCGGGTTCGGGTTGCAGGTTTAGGGTTTAGGGTGAAGGTTTAGGGGTTTGGGGGTTTAGGGCTAGGGTTTAGGATTTGGGGCCAGGGTTTGGTGTTTGGGGGTTTAGAGCTTCGGGTTGAGGGTTTAGGGCCCGGATTTAGGGTTCGGGGTTTAGGGCTTAGGGTTTAGGGTTTAGAGGTCTTAAATCCTCAAACCCACCTAGACTTCATTTTAAGATGCCCTACACACTTATCACCCAATAATAACTGTACTTGTAACCCATTTCTAAGCCCCTTAAGTGCCCTAATGTGATTATAATTGGGTTATAAGCACCCCAAACCCGAAACCCTAAACCCTAAACCCCAAACCCTATTAAGTACCATGAATCTCCTCAACCCGAAGCCCTGCTACCTTGTAGGGGAAGAAGTGCTCGATCTTCTTTCTGTTGCAGCAAGCCCGGAACCATTGGCGGAAGCCTGCGGTTTAGGCTTTAGGGTTTAGGGTTTAGGGTTTAGGGTTTAGGGTTTAGGGTTTAGGGTTTAGGGTTTAGGGTTTAGCGTTTAGGCTTTTTTTTTTTAGGGCTTAGGGTTGAGGTGTTGCTTCGGAGCTCTTTCGCACTACAAGGTTTGGGCTTGATGCTTCCCGCTTGTGGCTTTCTGGCTTTCGGGCTTTCGGGCTTTGGGGCTTCAGGACTTTGGGATGCTGAGGTTTAAAGGCAGGCGCCCTGGTGCTTTGCACAAGTCTTTAAACCCTAAACCCTAAATCCTAAACCCTAAACCCTAAACCCGAAACCCACATGGAAAAACAGGGCTTCTCTGGCTTTGGCGGCTTTTGGGGCTTTAGGGGTTCTAGCGCGCGATCGCGAGCTTGGCGAAGAAAGGAAGCCTCCGCGCAGCACACTGTCAGTGTCGAGGTCAGGTACCCCTGAGCGGCTTCAGAGTGACACTTGGAGGTTCATGGCACTTAATCACCCATTTGTAACTGTACATATAACCCACGTATAGGCCCCTTATAAGTGCCCTAATATGGTTCCAATTGGGTTATATTATATTAAGTACCATGAACCTCCAAGCACAGGCACATGCGGCCGACGTTGCAGGAAGAAAGGTTCAAGGTTTGGGCTTTGGGGTCTTCGTGCTAGATGAGTTGACCAGATGTATTTGGCCATCTCCCAAAATAGGGGTACCCCGAATACACTCCAGCATACTCTAGTTTTTACAAGAGGAACCGAGTTCATGTAAACAACGACCATGCAAACACAGAATAAAGATGGTTAGCTTGCTGGGAATCTTGGAGTTTAGAGCCAAGAAGCGATGCAGCTACGAGACGGACCCTAAACCCCATTCCCCAAAGAACCCTTAAACTCGGGGGTTTACGAAGATAAGGGCACCCCAAGATGGACCCCGCCAAATAGTAGGATTCCGATGAAATAGGGACCCCAACAAGGTACCCCGAATATCGGAAACCCCCCCAAATCTCTCCGTTGGGGCAAGGCGCCGGTTCCCCAGAAGCGGAGCCGCACGGGGCGGCTGCTCCGCAAGACGAGGTGGTGTCCTTGTCGTCCGGGGAAGCTGACTGCTCTTGGAAGCTCGAAGATCAAGGGGGCGGAGGGTTTAGGGTTTAGGGTTTAGGGTTTAGGGTTTAGGGTTTAGGGTTTAGGGTTTAGGGTTTAGGGTTTAGGGTTTAGGGTTTAGGGTTTAGGGTTTAGGGTTTAGGGTTTAGGGTTTCGTCACACTCATTGCCTCAAGGTCTAAAGCTCACGGTGCTGCTGGGCTCTTTGGGCTCTATGAACCCCTGTGAGGTTTGTTGCCACCCGTCTAGCCACTCACTACGGGGTTGTTGCCGCTAGGATTTCGAGTTCAGGGCGGTTAACTAGCAAAAGAAGCACCAGAACTGAATCAGTGACCGCCGCATGCACTCCCAGCGGCCGCTGCAGAGTACGTGCACCTGAGAGGCCGTCTCTTGTTGCTCCCACGCGTCGGCCCGTACAGCAAAAGGCGGCGTCATGAATCTTTCGCCTTCAAGGAACCTTCAGTATAACTGTGTACTCTATGGGTGGCCTTAGTAGCATGAGTGCCGAAACAACCATCTTGCGGTCGGTATTTGTCGTACCTGAACCTCAACTCCCAATGCTCCATGCCATCATGCCCAGGCTGCTGTACTTCACACCCAGGCTTCACTTGCGCGACGCTGTTTCATGCCTGAACCCTGAAACCTCAACCCGAAACCCGAAACCCTCAACCCTAAACCCTGAAGCCCTAAACCCCAAACCCGAAACCCGAAACCCTAAAAAACCCTGAACCCCAAAGCTGCCTGGCTCCCCTCCACGCGGATGTCAGCCACCACACCGGGCAGACCGCAGACGAAGACGAGGCTCCACACGGCCAGTCCTTAGTAGGGTTTATTTCGGGTTTAGGGTTTAGGGTTTCGGGTTTAGGGTTTCGGGTGTAGGGTTCAGGGCTTTTGGGCACATCTTGGAGGTTCATGGTACTTAATGACCCTATGGTAACGGTAGAAGTTCTACCCAATTATAACCATGTTAGGGCACTGCAGGGGCCTCTAACTAGGCTATACGTACAGTCATATATTGTATTGTGAGTACCATGAACCTTCAGGGGTGCATTGGAGGGCTTGGTTTTGGGTTGACGGTTACAATAGCTACTCCAACTGAAACTAAAGTTGTTGCACGCTAGAATTGCGGAGGAGGGGATATGAACCCTTGGCAGCTTACAGCCAGAGTTCTACCCCCGTCCCCCTCCCCCTCCCCCACCCCCCGCCCCTGAGTAAAAAGTTGACATGCCCGGCGGCCCCAGCATGCGATCATCGATATGGCGAGCAGATTCGTCCAAATAGTGGGATTGCACAGGCGGCTGTCCTGCCCAAAGACCCCAAACTCGAAACCCTCAACCCGAAACCCTAGACCCCAATCCCTAGACCCCAAGATGATGGCTAGACCCCAAGATGATGGTCGTTTGGGTGGGGGGGGGGGGCTCGGAATAACTCAACTCTGGGGCTCCAAGAGCCCCTAGACTCCCCAACTCTGAGGCTCCAAGAGCCCCTAGACTCCAAAAGCAATCCCAACCTTACGCGAAGAAAGTTGCAGACTTTGCCTCCATGTATTCATGAATATGTATATTTATATTTACATATACATACATATATGTATATATATATATACAAACCATATTCATGTGATGATTCAAGTCGCTCATATGATTCTTCAGGTTGTTCATATGATTCTTCAGATTGTTCGTATTCATGAGCTGGGAAGGGAGCTTTTGCTGATGGGTTACAGTTGGGTTTGAGGCCACACGCCTGGATTGTCTATCTGAGTCTATCTCAGTTGCATTGGAAGGCATAGCAATTCAGTGTTTGTTAGGGTTGCGAGCTTGGTGGGGCCAAGGAAGCTGGCTTTTATGGTAGAGTAGGTTCAGGAACCCTGGGGTATAAAGCAGCCCCTTTTTTGAAGCTCGAGGGGCCTAGAACCACAGAAGTTGCCGCCCAGGCTCCCGTCGATCCCTTTTGCTGAATCACCCGAATCGACACCCTAGACTTGATTTGGTTTAGGGTTTAGGGTTCAGGGTGGACCTCAAGCGCGTGTGCCCGATGGACACCTAACCGGATGCCTTGCTGGTCTGGTAGGCGAACATCCAGCCGGAGCAGGCCTTGCATCTGGCCTCAAACTCTGGGCTTTTGGGGGGCCCTTTCGGGTTCTCTCGGCCCCCAGGTGATTTTTAGGGTCTAGGGTTTAGGGTCTGGGGTTAGGGCCTTTGAGGGTCTAGGGCGATTCGGGCGACCAGCGCAGGTTTACCGTGTCGGCAGGTCATCCTCGCTTGGATTCTTTGGATTCTTCGCACCGGTGCCCTGCCACTTTAGGCTCGGCGGGGCGTGTGATGGTGCAGCATCTGGTCTTGTTGTATCGAAGGGGCACAGATGCCTTGGCAATAGGTTGGTTGTGATCTTGAAGAGCTCGATGTCATTGCCACTTGTGCCTGGTCCTACATCCTAAACCCTAAACCCTCAACTCTAAAGGAAGAGCTCCTTGATGCAGCTGGCATGATGAGCATGCAATATTGAGATGCCTCCCCGCGATAAAGTCGAAGCTGGTGGAGTTCGGCACTGCGACGGGAAGCAGAGACTGCGAAAGCCAAGTCGCGGCACGACCGGGTATCCCTGAGTACGACCGGACACAACTGGGGAAGGCGTACTCGGGCGTGCTCGGGCGCACTTGGCCGCAGTCGGGAGTGCACCGGAGGCAGTCGCTGAACGGGGCGACGTCTTGACGGGAGATTTGAGCCATTGCTTGTTAAAATCTGTGAGGCTTACTTACTGCACTCATGGGCTCATTGGACATCTTCTCTGAGCTGCTTGATCCTTCAACCCTCCGCGGTGCGAAGAGACCCTTTGGTTTCATCCTTCTGCGGCACCACGCACGTGCGCACGGCTACTCAGCCCCGCCGCCGTAAGGCAGATCCCTAGGGCAGGGTGATGAGGCTTGAAGTGCACTCGAGCTGAATTTCAGGCTATTCGGGCTCCAGGGCTTCGGTGGGTTTCATACTGTTGGGGGATCGGATTTGGAGTTTGGGGTTCGAGGTCTGGGGCTCATAAGGTTTGAAGGGTTTGCCACAATGAGGCTTCGAGTTTTTGCCATCCCTCCCACGAAGAGCCCTGAAGTATTGAAAATTGAAGCCTCAAGGCCTGCAGGGTTGCTATTGCCGGCGCATCCCCTGAACTGCACCCAGCATGTACGCACACCAAGAGTTAGATTGAACCCTACACTCACCAAAAACAACAGAACTTCAAGGCCTCTTCCGGTATATCTTCATGAGGAATTATGGGGACCTCATACCTCTCCCCCTCTAACTTGCATGGGCGACTGTGCAAACTGGCAACCCGAGTTCTTAAGCCACCGAAATGTCGGCTTAGCGGCTGAGCCGGGGAATTCCGAGTAGGTCCCATCCTCCAGAAGGGTGCCCGCTTTGTGGGTTTAGGGCTTAGGGTTTCGGGTTTAGGGTGGGGATTTTATGTTGCCTCCCGCACTGCAAGCCTCAAGGTTTTTTCTGCCACCCTAGAACTGTGGGACGCCTCCAGGCCTCCAGGTGGGCAAGCTAAATCTTCCGCAGGGTTTTCATGCGCCGTTCAAAAGTCCTCGGAGCTACGGTTGCTGGCGCGGGCCTACCAAACTGTGCTATCAGCACCCTGAAGCCCTCGGATCTCGGAACACGGGCCCGTCCTTGCAGGTTTGGCAGCCTCGGCGCGCGAAACGGGCTGGTCTTGTAAGCTCTACTGCCCTGTCAGGTCTTGCAAGCCTTAATAAGTCGCGCATCTATGGGGCTTCTGCCCTGGCCGTGGCATGTCGAGTGAGGCTCCTGATTGCCAAGCCCTTGCAGGCCAAACCCAAAGCCACAGCCTCCCAAACACAACGGGAAAACCCTTTTCGCAGCTGGTCTCAGCCCCCCTTATTGGCTTTCTGGGAGAGACTCTGCGGTCAACACGCCCCGTCGGCGCCTCCAACCAAAACCTCGCGAGCCTCCTTATAGCTCCGCTTTCGGGGAGCTGGTCTGTGCTCGCTTCAGCTTAATGAACCCCATGGCATCAAAAAGGATGCGCGCCGCAAGCAATGACGTCACCTGGGCCGGATCGTAGGGCGGAGACACCTCCACCAAGTCTAAGCCAACCACGTCCGAGGCCCGGAAGATGATCTCCCTGAGCAGGTCCTTCACCTCATAGTAGCTGAACCCCCCGTGGCTGGGCGTGCCCGTGCCTGGGGCGATGGAGGGGTCGAAGCCGTCGATGTCGATGCTGAAGTAAACTTGTGCTCCCTGGGGAACCAAGGCGGCAGTGCTTTCGGTCCCCAGCTTCCGCACCTCGCGGACGCTGAGGATCTTCGAGCCCATGCGCTCCGCATCCTCGAAGCTGCTCTTCGCAGTGGAGCTGACGCTACGGATGCCCAGCTGCAGCATCGAGCTGATGTGCGGCATCTCCAGACACCGCCGCATGCAGTTGCCGTGGCCGTACCGCACCCCGTGCCGCTCATCCACGAAGTCCAGGTGGGCATCGATCTGCACCAGGACCACTGGCTTCGAGAGCACAGCCAGTGCACTGCACACTGGGGCGGTGGTGGCGTGGTCTCCTCCCAAGATGAAGGGAGTCACCCCGGCACGTAGGACTTGCTCCACAGCTTCTCGCGTTCTGTTCAAAGACGCCTCCTGGTCCGTGTGAACGATGTCGACATCACCGACATCAAGGACGTCACCGTACTGGTAGGTCTCCCCCGTATCCGCATCGTAGACCTCCGCGTGCCCAAACTGGTACAGGGTCGACGCCTCGCGGATGCCCCTGGGGCCCATGCGGGCCCCGGACCGATACTGCGTCCCCATGTCGTTCGGGACTCCCAGCACGGCGAAGTCGGGCCGCCGGCTCAGGGCGTCCATGTCCCCGGGCGGGAACTTCCCGAAGGTCGTGTGCCCAACAAAAGGAAGGTTGAGCCTGCCCTTGGTGTACGCGCCCTCATCGGCGCCCGCACCCGGCAGCGCAATGCACCAGCACAGCAGCTCGAGAGCAAGTCGCATGCGCCTCATCCCACCCTAGTCCCTAAACCTACGCGTTCGGCAGGTCTCTGCAGAGGGGCAGTCCGGCTGGGAAACACCCTCGCCAACGCAGAGTCTTGAGCAGGATCGGCGGGAGCATGACAATCTGGAGGAGGCCGCTTGGGCCCTCATCTTCTCCAGCATTCCCTACTTGCTAACATCCAGTTGATGCACTGATGTGCCCAGATCAAGCAGAGGGTCAAGGGCGGGGAGATCACAATAAGCCGAGTCCTACACCCGGCGCTCTGATGGTAAGACATGGGGACGTTCACACCCCGGAAACCCACGAACCCTAAACCCTAAACCCTAAACCCTGTTCTTGAACCCCCATCCGGGCTCAAGGCATCGGCCCGGGAAGGGGAGAAGAAAGAAGACCAGAAGTCCAAGGCGCAGATGCTCCCAACAGAGCCCTAGACTTATGGTAATTCATTCCTATATAAGACAGATGCTCCCAAAGGAGCCCTAGGTTTATGGTAATTCATTCCTATGTACGACAGATGCTCCCAAAAAAGAGCCCCAGGTGTCGAATCCTCCTAGAACAGAAGCTGCAAACCCCTGGGTCGAAGACAATGTTTGTGAGCCTATGACCCTTTTGCATCCGGGCTGGGGTAGTCGGCCGATGACCCTAAACCCTGAGAGAGACATTAGACTTACGACCCTACAACCTTTTCCCCTCAACCTAAGCCTCTCGGGCAACACAGCTTCGCAGCTCTGAGAAACCCGAACCCCAAGAATCCTAAACCCCAAACCCAGAGTTTTAGGGTTGAGGGTTTTTTTTGCCACCCGACTAGCCACGGCAATGCGGGGTACAAGGTCGGAAACTAGAAAACGAAGAACTGTCACCCCGAGCGGGTTTCGCCACTTCGCTCGGGTTTAGGGTTTAGGGTTTAGGACCTAGGGTCCAAGCTCAAGACTCCCAAACCCTCCGCACGCTTCGCCGGGCAGCTTGCCAGGTTGTTGGAATCTGCCTGCCCGACAAGTTCTGTGCTTCGGGTTTAGGGTGTCAGGGCATTTAGAAGCGAAAACACCCGCTTTCGGGCTGGACACACATCGACCTGCTATGGCCGTAAACCCTAAACCCTAAACCCTAACGTTTCGGCCACAGCCCAAAGCCTCAACCCTGCCTACACCCAGCTCAAGACCTCCTAGAAAACCCCAAACACGCCTGAAAAACTTTCCTCTAAGAGTGTACCCGTTTACCGTCCTCGGTAGCTTTAACCATGCACAACCAGTTGCCAGAATGCCTAAACCCTAAACCCTAAACCCGAAACCCTAAACCCCAAACCTAGAAGAGCCGGCAGAAAGATCTGGGCTTTGGGGTTTTTCGAGCCTTGAAGGTCCCGGGAGTGCACTCGTGGCAGCTGTAGTGATCCACATCGTGATCCCAGACCTCAATTTTAAAAAAAAAGTACTTTCTAAATCATGTATTAATGATCATAGCATGACCATACTAATCATAACAAGAAGAAGAATAAGGAACTCGGGGGAAACACTCCCTCCACCCAAACCCCCTCCCCCAAAACCAAAAACTCTTGAAAACAAAACTCCGTGGCCCAACCAGCCGGATCCTTAGCACGCGCTCGTCCGCGGAATGTCCTACCAGTTTGGGGCTTCACAAAGACACCAGCCAACGCAAAACACCCAGAGGGTGCTCAAATCTACAGAATGCCCAATGCACAGGGTACATTTGATAAGGTGGCCACCCTGCTTATGGCTTGTAGCTTCACACGCCCCTGAGCTCCTCAGTAGCATGGGAAGGTGGGGGGGTGCAAGGCTTCGTGGATGCGGCTCGGGCGTGGAGTTCACTAAGTTCCCCAAACACCGCACCTGCTATCTTTTAATAGCTCGACGGCCGAGGACCGGCCGGGTCTTATGAACGCAGTGGGGTTGACAAGCGCAAGGTTTGAGGAGAAGCCTGGTCACCTTACTTGGAGGTTCATGGACAGTTATCAGTGGGGTTACAAGTAAGGTAACTTTAGGTATAGCTGGTTACAACCTTGTTTTGGGCCACTTAGAACCCTACTTGTAACTACCCATGAACCTTCAGTAGGGAGCTTGCCGTCCCAGCCGCATATTCGTAGCCGGGCGGACATTTTCCCAGCGCACAGTCCTCGCAGGAAAGCAAGATCGCGGCCTGTGCTTTAAGTGGACTAAGGGCTTTTCGGCTACTTTATAGTACCAAGTACAGGATGACATTGGACTTGTTTAGGTTCCTGTACTTCGGGCCTGGGAAAGTTAATACAGGGCCTGAATAATTAGAGTATGAGGGATCATATTGGTATAACCATATAGGGACCATAAGGGAATACCATTGGTAAATTATTCCGACCCAAACATTATCCTGAGCCAGGGAGTCTGCTTGCTGTAAGCCAAGCTGTGCACCCTTTTGTCAAGCATCCACCATGAGGGCCAAACAGGGCCTGAAAATCAAAGTTGTCCAACCCACACGGGGGCGATTGCACGTGACTCCATGCACTCGCTTGTTGCGTGCTGACTGGTCCTGAGTCCTGACTTTGTGGCAGAATCTTGCAAGATGCAACAGATTCTTGACCAGTTTCCCGAAACTGTGCTTGCTCTTCAGGGTTCTTCCGTTGGGAGCTGAGAGAGCTCGATCCGCGCCCGCACCTTCTCGGTGTTTCCTGTGGGCCCGGACGAACTCACCTAAGGGCCATTCGCATTCCAACCGGAACGATGACCCTCTCAGTGCTTCCGCATGCCCTTGACGCTCTTGCCTAGGCCGCGTGTGCCGTGCGTGCGCTGAGGTGTACCAAACATGGGCACACTTCGGGCATCCACCAGTCCAAGGGGATTTGCAGGTTGGTGTTGCGAATCGCGCTCCTGTTCCCGGTCGCGTGCGCATGCGCTTCGTGAAGAAGTGCAGAACTGTCTCTGCTTCTGGGCCCCCACTGCCTTGTCAGGACTTTGTGCCCCGTAACTGAAAGCTGCGGGATTTGGGAGGGCTTAACCCTCACGAGCAGCGAACCACAAGAAAATAACACAATCAAGAGAGACACCCCAAACCCTAAACCCCAAACCGCAGGGCACAACCTTAGGGGTCCAAGGTTGGGATGTTCCCCCTTATACTAGCAGTTCTTAATAGGGATTATGGTTCCCCCCCTGTTTGAACCCTTTTAAGGACTGTTAGTATAAGGGGGAACATCCCTAGTCCAAGGCAAAACCCCCATGACGCCAGACCAGTCCGGGCCGGCAAAGAACTCGCTGCAGTTGCCTCGGCTTGCGTCAGGCCCTGGGTGGAATGTGGCGTCGAGGGCTTCGGGGATTCCGGCTTACGGTTTAGGGGTTTAGGGTGGAGGGTTTCCGGACCCTATAAGCCCCAAACCCAAACCTCAACCCCAAGTGCCCATGTCGGGACGGTGGCCACAAGATGATTTCCTGCAAACCATGACGACGTGTTTAAATATTTGCTGCTACCCTTAACCCTAAACCCTAAACCCCAAACCCGAAAGCCTAAACCCCAAACCCCAAACCCTAAACCCCAAACCCCAAACCACTATGAAGGGCATGCAGGGTCTCGGCCGCGGCGCAGGCGCCGGTTCCCCGATAGCTTCCGCGCTGGAGCCTCTGGCCAAGACCAGGGTTTCAGATGGGTTTGGGGCCTCTAAAGTTTAGGGTTTAGGGTTTAGGGTTTAGGGTCTATAGCATATGAACGACGTGCTCGTTCGCAGCCGCGAGCTGCTCAAGAAGGGCCCTTCTTAAGTAGTTGTGTAAAGATTCCTTTTGCGCCCCTGGGATATTTTGCAGATAGACTGGCTCTTGACCGTCAACTCGGAGTCGGACGGCTAGAGGAACGGAAAAGGACCGGGCTCTGTGGAATAGTTCCTTTACCCTAACCCTTGGGATGCTTTCTTGGACCCTTTGCAACTCGCAGTCGGACGGCTAGAGGACACTGGGTGTAGGAGAGTGTTCAGGTGGATATCTTGTCAGGTGTACAACGTGTGGTCGGACGGCTAGCGGATACATCTGGTGGATAGGCCATCAACTTTCTGGAGATAGCAACTCTAGGGATCCTTCCGATAGTCGACATCGGGAGTGGCATAGGAATACCTGGCTAGCTACCTCGTGTTCCCCGTTGGCAGGGATACTGCTACTTCTGGAGCAACTTCACAACTTACAACTGTATATAACCAACTTCTTTTTCCTCGTGTGGCCTGAGCTAGTTACGGGAGTGGGTTGCGCAAGTTTTCCTTTTTTTGGACACTTCGCACAATAAGAACCCCAATAAGGTTCTATCCAGTTATATGTACAGTTCCCCTACTTACAACGCCACCTACAACTCTCCATGAACTTCCAAGCAAGCCCTAAACCCTAAACCCGAAACCCGAAACCCTGACCCCTAAAGGGTCTAGGGTCTAGGGTCTTAGGGTCCTGTGGTCTCAGGGTAAAAGCCCAATCCCCATATATTTCAGTTTAGGGTTTCAGGGCTTGGGACACTGGGATCCACTTTTCGCCCAGCCTATTGAGCTCCCGCTCCTGCGATATCTCAGACCAGGCCAGGTGGTCATCCATGCCTTAGGGCACTTGGAGGTTCCATGGGTAGTTCTAAGTGGGGTTACTTATAACCCCACTTATCACTCCTAGATAAGGTTATAAGCAGTTGTAAGTATAGTTACCCTACTTATAACCCGACTTCTCACTACCCATGAACCTTCAGGCCAGGCTTGAGGGCGTCTTCTTCAGGGCACGCCAAGAGAGGGGGGCTCAGGATAATCTCGAGGTCGGCGTAAGGCTTTGGATGCAGTGGATGCAGTTCTGTTTAGAGTTTAAGGGTTAAGGGTTTAAGGTTTAGGGTTTAGGGTTTAGTTCCAGGATTTTGGGAGGGTTTTGGTTCCGCGCTGCCGTCAGGCAGGCGTTAGGACGTTGAACCCTTCAACGAAGGCTATGCCACCTCTCGGACCCAAGCACCGGAGGGGGTCTGCCCTGCAATCGTCGTTTTGGGATTCCCGACAAAAGTAGCAGGTCCTGCCCGCGCC